CAACAACCTCAAACTTTTGGGCTCAAGCAATTCTCTTGCCTCAGCCTCCCAAGTAGCTGGGACTATAGGTGCCCACCACAACACCTGGCTGTTTTCTTGTTGTAGTTGTCACTGTTGTTTAGCTGACCTGGACCGGGATCGAACCCACCAACCTGAGGGGTAGGTTGCTGGCGCTGTAACCACTGTGCTATGGGCGCCAAGCCATCTCTTCCCCTCTGACCTCCACTATAAGGACACATTAGTCTTTTTGTTCAGCCTCTGAGCTGAACTTTGAGGCAGCTGATTTACTACTTCTCTCCCACATCTTGCATCTCAGTACTTATATCCCAGTAAATAGCTGCTTTATACCTCCAGTTATTCAAACCAAAATCTCTGCACTCAGACTTAATTCTTAATCTTTTTTCCTCATACCTCATATCCAATTTGTTTTCGAATCTTACTTTACTTTAAAGAAAAAAAATCCAGAATGTGATCAGTTCTTACTACCTTCACCCCATGATGAATGAATTAACTCTAGGAGGAGGCACTTGCACCCATCTATTAATATTTATCAAAGTGTGGGCAATCTACTATAGGGCCTTCCCACCACTTGTATGGAGCCTGGACATGAGGGCAGATCAGGGGCAGAGGTTCCTGCTGTAAAGTATTTCTTCTGTTGCTATTTCTTGTTTGATTTCATCCAGAGAAAGAAAAAGAGGACAAGAGAAAAATCTCAAGAACCATTAGGTTAATGATAAAAGGTGTCAAAGCCTAAGCACTGCTCTTATTAAAAAGACTCAGCCCTTGCCAGCCAACCATCTCTCTGTTAATCCCTATGTGAGGGTTTAAAGATGAGAAGAGGAGGAGAAGAGGGAGAAGGAAGTGTTTAATACAACTGGTTTTAAATTGAGACACAGTTTTGCACAATGGTTAAAAAATGTGGACCCTAGAGACAGACCAAGTCTGAACTTGCCTCTAGCCAGGTGATGCTGGGAAAATTCTTTAACTTCTCTGTATTTCAGTTGTCTTTGTGAGATGGGGTTAAAATTCTTTAACTTCTCTGTATTTCAGTTATCCTTACTTCATGTAGTTGTGAATATTAGGTGAGTTAGTGCATTAAAGCAATTAAATGGTCCTAACAGTAAGTGTATGAGAAATATTATAGTTTTTAAAAGCCAGTTTTCAAAGTATTATAGGTTGTGGACCTTAGTCTTTCAAATGGCAGGAGGAGTTATAAGCATTTTGGTGGTGAGTCATCCATTCCTCTATATTAGGGCTATCTTTCATTGTATAGTAAAGAGCTGTTTAGAGGACAGTGGCTACACATTAAGTGTATTCAGCTCCACACAATCACCATGCTAGAGGGAGTCTGAAGTCTTTGATGTATTATCATTTAATTGAATAAATAAACCAACGACAGACTTCATTTTTTTTCTCCTTGCTCTGCAATAGGATGGTTCACATTTGGGCAAAGGCAGGGGCCTTTGGAGTGACATACTAGTCTGCAGCATGAATTTCAAAACTGACATTAAACTTGCACTTCAACTACAGCTTTCATTGGCATCAGGTAGAACTGGCCATGAAGAATTGCCGACGCAGATGGCATTATATACTTGATATCCTTTCTATAGAGGTCCCGTCACAACTGCTTCCCCAGCATTCAAGAATGTGAAAACAGGCACAGCAGCAATTAAGTGACAAGGAACAGGGTGTTCAAGTGTCCTGTCTATTGAAAATTGCTCAGCAGCATGGGATGGAATAAGCCAGGCCAGAAGCCAGGGGAAGTTTTAGTAAGCTCTTTGTCCAATGCCCGGCCAATCAACTGCCCGTTCCTTTCTTCTCATCATCTCTTTCTTTTTTCATGTTTGTTTGCTTGTTTGCTTTTCTGTTCCTCTGTCCTGGATTTTTCACTCTCAGCTGTGTCTGTTGTCCTTCCCCTGCTGCATTTTACTATGTCTTCATCAGTAATTTATCCAGGGTGAAATCTAAGATAACTAGAACTTTATATTTTAAATTAGAACATTTCCTAAATACTCTTTTTCTCTTAGGATCAAATACTGTTGTCAGTTAAGAGAAGCTGTGGGCTTGCAGTGTGCTGGATGAGAGTACTATTGCTCACTGAGCTCTGTGAGATAGTGTCCTTGGCCTCAGGGCCAAATGATAGGAACACATTGCCAGTCGTTCTGACCACCAGAACTGCCTTCACATGTTTCCAAACACCCCACAAAGTAGTGGTGTAGCCTCTTGTTTAGAACAACTACTAGCTAGATGGTTAGAAGCATATCACCAATTACTGGGCTCAGTTGTTCAATATTAGCCATTCTTTTTAATTTTTGAAAATCTAAGATATTAGAAAACCCAAGATATTTATTGATTGGCTTTGAATATGCAGTCATGCACCATATAACAATAATTTGATCAACAAATGACCACAGATGTAACAGTGATCCCATAAGATTATAACATGGCATTTTTACTGTACCTTTTCTATGCTTAGACATATTTAGATACATAAGTACTTACCATGTGTTATAACTATCTATAGTATTCACTATAGTGACAAGTTTGTAGCCTGGGTGTGTAGTAGGATATACCGTCTAGGTTTGTGTAAGTATGCTATATGATGTTTGTACAACAATAAAATCATCTACCCATGCATTTCGCAGGATGTATTTCCATTGACACATGAGTGTATATAAAGTTTTTTTGTTAAGGAAAATACAGCTGGTGCCCCCAAAATGTATATACATTTTGAGAGATGTTATCAATGTTTTACTTTCAAAGTTGAGTGAAGGTGCTGTGACTGGTCAAGTGCACCTAGACATGCTGATCACATCCATTTACCTTCAATTCATGAACTTTGGGGGAATGGTCAATTTTACTTCCAACAAGATCTCTTAAAATGTGAATGCATTTTTTGGCACTCTTGGTATTAGGAACTCACAAAATTATTGATTTATTAAATGATTATGTGTGGGAACCACCTATGGCTCAGTGGGTAGGATGCCGGCCCCATATACCAAGGGTGGTGGGTTTGAACCCGGCCTCGGCCAAACTGCAATGAAAAATTGCCAGGTGTTGTGGCAGGTGCCTGTAGTCCCAGCTACTCGATAGGCTAAGGCAAAAGAATCACCTAAGCCCAGGAATTGTAGGTTGCTGTGAGCTGTAATGCCACAGCACTCTACCGAGGGAGAAAGTAAGACTCTGTCTCTAAAAAAAAAAAAAAAAAAAAAAGTAAAAATAAATGATTATGTGTATATTAGCTTTAACTTTCTCAAAGTTTACTCATTTTTAATTTATATGATTAAAGCATCTCTTTTTATTTTATTTTTTTGAGACAGTCTCACTTTGTCACTCTGGGTAGAGTGCTGTGGCATCACAGCTCACAGCAACCTCAAACTCTTGGGCTTAAGCAATTCTCTTGCCTTAGCCTCCCAAGTAGCTGGGACTATAGGCGCTTGTTACAATGTCTGGTTATTTTTAGAGACCTGGGGTCTCTTGCTGAGGCTGGTCACGAACTCCTAAGCTTAGGCAGTCTACCTGTCTCCCAGAGTGCTCAGATTATAGGTGTGAGCCATCATGCCCAGCAAGTATCTCTTTTTAAAAGTGATTTTTTTCTCCAAATCAAGTTGTTAATTCTTACTATCCTGACAGCTGGCACAATTAATACTTTAACAAAAGCATTTAAAGTTAGCTAAATATCTAAGATGGGTATACATATAAAAGATATATTAATTAAAACCATTTAAAAAGTATTAGATACCATAATTTATACTTGGCCATAACCTTTATATTCAGAAATGATTGTAGGTGGTGCCATAGCTCTGTGGGTAGGGCGCTGGCCACATACTCCGAGGCTGGTAGTTTCAAACCCAGCCCAGGCCAGCTAAAACAACAATGACAACTGCAACAACAAGAAAAAATATCCGGGCTTGGCGCCTATAGCTCAACCGGCTAAGGCGCCAGCCACGTACACCTAAGCTGTCGGGTTCGAATCCCCAGCCCGGACCCGCCAAACAAC